CGGGGGGAGCACGCATGAGCAGGGGTGGCAGGGGTACAGCGTGCGTATTGCATTTTGGGGGTTTGGGTGAGCATGCATTTGCATGCTTTGGGCACTCAGTCTGGAAAAGGTTACCCGTCACTGACCTAGGATGTAATAGAAATCACTAAGCTTGGGTCAAGACGTTAAAGACACTATGCTGCAGATCAAAAGAAGGCTTTTACAGACCATCTGTTGGAGACTGCATGCTAATAACAGATGGGCTGAAAACCACAGAAGGATGTGTGTGTGTGATTCCTTCTTTTTCCTTTTTTTGCTTCCTAACTGCCCACAAGACAGATTGAAGGACAGTTCACTCTCATCAAAAGTCTTAAGTAATTGCTTCCAAAGGTCTTTTGAGGTAAAAACTAGGGACTACAGGCGATCTTAAGGCTGCTAATTGTCCAGATATAAGAGAGAAGTTGTACTGGGGTTAAAGGAAAAAGATATTAGATAATAAAAGGCTAAGATAGGAAGTACCACATTTTTCGGAGTGTAAGACGCTTCGAAGTATAAGATGCACCTAGCTTTTGGGGAGGAAACAAGAAAAAAAATTCTATCTCTGTCTCCTAGCAATTTGCCTCCTTGCAGCAAACAGCCTGTTTCAGTTTCAATTTCAGCACAGCCTGATTAGCAGAAGCAGAGATTTCCGCCTCCGCCCCCTCCGTTTTCAACCTCCGCACGCCCCGTTTTTGGCCTATGCATGTCTCATTTTTCGCCCATTCCAGGTGGCGGAGATCAGAATGGGTGGAAAATGGGGCACATGGAGGCAGCAATAGCAATCCCTGCAGCCTGAAACAGCTGATGGTCGGGAGGCCAATCACACCAACCATCAGCTGCTTGTATTAATCAAGCTGTGCTAAATGAAAACTGAAACAGGTTGTTCTATTTGCTGCAAGGAAGCAAATTGCTGGGAGGCAGAGGCCAAAGGGTGGGGGCCAGTGGGTGGACAGGACTACATTCAGTGTATAAGACACGTCCAAATTTTCACCCTCTTTTAGGGGGGGGGGGAAGTGCGTCTTATACTCCGAAAAATACAGTAATTCAGAAAATTGATAGAAAGGAAGCTATGAATGCATCAGAAAATAGTTTACTAAAATTAAAGTATCAGAGATCTATGCACCTCGTGTTTGTAGCAGCCTCAACCTATTCAGTAGAAGCAGATGAGTCAGAGGAAGCCTAAAAATTGCTACACATTTTTCTGTCTGTTTTGTGAAACCTAACTGCTTACTGCTATCTGCAAAAGTATGAAGCAAAAAACTTGCCATTTTTGCAGATATAGATTTGCTGGAGAATAATGAAGAACCTTGATATGCCTATTGTTGGGCCTCTGTAGCAGCAAGCTGCGTACAGACAGAATAATAAAGTTCTCTGGGCCATAAGACAAACTACTTCAGTGGGGCACTGTAGAAGCTAATCCTCTCCACCAGGCTGCAGCTATGGAAGATGGATGGGAGAAAAGAAGGAAGTATCTCCCAGATGTTTCTGCTATCACAGCCCAGAGCCTTTGATGCATGGCTTCCCTCTCAGCAATGTCAACATGAAGTATCTCTTCTCCAACAGAGGATAGGTAGTGGTGGCGGCAGTGGTGTGGAGGCCACGGCTGCCTCAGGAGATGGGTTAGTAGTTGCATTAGTTTCTCACTCCCACTTTCCTCCTGCAACACTTCTCACTATGACTATTGGTTTCATGTAATTATATACATTTTCTTTAAAAGACTGGAGACCTGGGATAAATGGAGTGCAGGGCTGCATCGCTGCGACCACTCTGCCTTCACTATGCATATGTCCCTAGTTCACATATCACGCAAATCATGTGATTTGTTGATCTTGGTATGGTGAACCCACATTTGTGATCTGTAAGATTATATTTTAGGTGTATTGTGTAAATTAGGGATATGCAAAACATTATTTTATGCAACATTTTAATCTCTAACTGGACTATTAAAATTTGGAATATTCTGGAAGTATGTTGCACATTTAAAATCCTTTTTAGATTCAGAGCATTTCATAATGAACCCAAGTATTGTGGTTCATTCAATCAATGTTAAAACCTAGCAAATAATGCTAGGATGACATATGACTGTAGCCAGTAATTTTTTTAGAAAGCCACATATAAGTGAGTTTCAAACGTATGCACCCTCCCTCCTTACCTTAATTGGCCGTTTCAAAGCCTCCTGAATATCCAACCGTTTCCGCATAATAGTCTGGTCCAGCTTCCTCTCAAATGCCAACAAATCCATGTATGCCTGAGACTCGGGTACTAATTCCCGGATCTAGAATTCAATACAGCCACAGTCAATCATCACAGCCATTATACTACGGGTAACTGCCAGACCAAACACGCAAAATTTTACTCACCCGCTGAGGTAGAATTTTGTCTGCCATCTTTTTTTTCTTGGCACTGCACAAAGACAGAAAGACTGGATGGTAAATATCAATTCTTGATACATGTTTAAGAACATCCTTGTTGATTTTGTATCGAAGACAAATTCTGCTGAAACCAAGACTGTTTTAGGCACATAGGAAAACCGATGTATTTGGGATTGTATTTCTTTTTTTGCCATACTGGGAAAAGCTTTCTTGAAGAAGTCAATATTAGGAACCTTAAGCATACCAACACAGAAGAAAGCTCCACTGATTTCAACGGGGCATGCTCTTTAAGAAATATGTGTAGAACTACAGAATTTGGATAATATGTTAATAGAGGAAATCATTCTACATCTGAAGAAAATGGTAAGTGAGCTCCTGTCTACCCTAGATGAGTTCAAATCACCAGGACTGGATGGATTACATCCAGGGTTCTGAAGGAACTGGCAGACGAGATCGCAGAACCACTGAACTATATCTTTCAGAGATACTGGAGCACTGGGGAACCTCCAGAGGACTGGAGAAGAGCTGATGTGGTTCCCATCTTCAAAAAAGGAAAAAAAAGTAGATCCAGGAAACTACAGACCTATCAGTCTG